AGAACTTACGCACGCACAGCGAGCGACGCGCTCGAATTCCCCCGACCATCCAGTCGCGGTCGCGCCAGCGAAATTTTTTCCCACTCGAGTTCCGGACCCACCATAGATATTGTTTTGTAATATATGGCGTTCAGTGTATATTATATGCGTTTGCGGATTATTAGTTAGTGTTCGAGGTGTCGTGTACGTGTTGGCCGGTTTAGGGATTTAGGTGGTACTTCAGTTTTAACATGTTGCTTCGGGAAGTCGACGTGAATGGTGTGCGCTGAATTTGGCTGTGCGTGCCGGAAACTCAAGTGGTAGAAAACAAATATTTCGCTGGCCCGGCAGGCTCACTCTTTTTCGTCTCTAAATAGTCCGCTCTCAGAATGAGGCGCCATAAACAACCCGGTGTGTTTTAATAGGCGCGGATGCGTTATTGGCTTTTTGTTGGCTCGTAACAGACAAATGGGAGGCAGTGCGAAGAATCCGCACAGGCCAGCAACGAGCCCGGGCAGTGACATGATATATTAACAGCTGGATTTCGTCACACTACGCTTCGCCGCTAGTACTGTCACAAATAGCAAAATTGCTTTACGCAGCAATGGCGACGCAATGGGGGTCGTTGTCGTATCAGATTACTACAGATATGCTACCGAGGTAGTTTTAGGTTGTTTAGTATTATGTTTATATTTTTATATGAGGTATGTTTAGGAGTTAGGGTTAGGGTTTAAGCGGTTAGTTAGGTTAGGCGTTAGGGCTAGAGTTCAGGTTTAGGTTCAGGGTACACTTCTGTAGTACCAGTCGTGTACACTTGTGTGTTATACATACATGTACCTCGGGATACATATCTGTAGTACCTGTGATAATGACAAACGACCCTTGCAATGGCACGTACTCACTCCACGTATGTGTAGCCGAGGCTGAACCATGCAATCGTCGTGTTGCGGTTGCCTGTCTAGTAGATCAATTAAAACGCGGACCCATCGCGATACGTTATTGCATACATGTAAATTGTATTGTGATCTATTTCTGCGAACACGTGCATTTTGTGTGAGACGTGTGCGGTGTATGTGTGTACGCGCGGCAGTGGTCCGGCGTTGTGTGCCGGGCGCGTGTGGGGCTGCTGCGCGCGCGCGGTGTGGTGTGTGCGCGGGGTGGCGGTGGTGTGTGTGTGTGGCGCGCGCGGCGTGTTTGTCTGGTGTGTGACTGTTGCGGGTCGTGTGTCGTTGTGTGTGTGTGTGATGCTGTTGTGTGTTGACGCGGCAGCGCGTGGCCGTACGTACGTGCGGCGCGCGCGTGTGATGTGATGCAGCGCGCGCGCACATCCCTCGTGTTGGTGGTGTGTGGTGGTTTGCGTGCGTGGTGTGTGTGTGTGCGTGCGTGCGGCTGTGCGTGGTGTGTGTGTGTGTGTGTGTGCGCGCGCGTTGTGTGCATTTGTGAATCGCGAGCTATGGTAGGTGTTCAGATCCAGTTCTAGTTGAAAACACGCACTGGCCTGTCTTGTCTAGGCTGCGAGACAGGACCGAGGCATCAAGCCAAAACCACAGTATTATACCTTACAGCTAAGTAAGCCTTAATTGCAAATGCCTATTTAATGAATTCATCCCACCCAAAACTTGAATAAAAACGTACAAATTCTACATAGGTTGGTTCTTAGCTAAGAGAGCGCACAGTTTCATGTTCGGTCTTGCAGCCATCTAACAGGATCCCAGGGAAGAATCAGGCCCGTGAACCCCAACCGCATCCGCACTTGCCGGAATCAATACTAGAAATAGCGTGAAAAAATCCACGAGCATGATGTCACTTAATTATGACCAACCAGGAACTTCTTTTGATCGAACTACGCGTTCACTGGTAGAGGAAAAGCCGGAAACAAGATGAAGATCAGTGAAGAGTTATGACTCTCTCAAATTTAAAGTCAGCTCTGTTGTTGTTAACCACGTCACGTGGCTTGCTTGCTGTCTTTGCTGTCATTTGGTTGTTGGTAAACACTACAGGCTGTGCCTAATGTGCCACCATCGACCACGATCTCTTGTTTAAATTCTTCTCCGAGATTTACGATTAGATTTGCAATACTCGTAACAGATTCCCATTAAAGTATGCTTTATTATGACAGCAGAATGAGCAAAATATCTCTCTACCGTCTAAAGAATTAGTGTGACTGCAAGATGTTAAAAATCACAAATTAGACATAACAGATGAATACATCGCGAAAAACCCACCCGAAACACTCTCACATCAGCGTACCTTATGTGCTTCCCCCATGGTCCCCCCCCGGCCCCCCACCGCCCCGTTTCGTCTCATATGGTTTAGTTATAGGCTAGTGCAGAGAAAAAAGGTAACATGTTATATGGAACGTGTGCACAGAAAATAGTGTGCAAGCATTAAAGCCACAACGATGAACCATCATGAAAGGCAATTGGGATCTCGCATGCTGGCACTTGCATTTGACTCTATGCTTCACGGACATATAATAACAGGCACTCGGACTGCGAATGTTGAAAACGCGTTAAAGTTGATTACGTACCGTAAATAGTAAAAGTTAAACAAAATTATGTCCACTTTTACACAAAATGTAAGTGATTCTCTGTCACTTCTTATGCCGTTAAATTGCTGCTTATACTTCCTGCTATTCGCCCCTTTTCTCTGCTTCGAGTAAAACAAATACTCATTGACTCATACATAGCCATAGCAGGCTGAGAGGGTCTAATGTACGACGGCACCATGTGGCGAACGCACAAACTCAATTTTGTCTAGCAAAACTCAATTCTGTCTCCAAAAACTCACTGGTTCGTGAACACAACTCAATCTCTGTCTCACAAAACGTCAATTTTCGTGAACACAAGAACTCAATTCTGTCAATAACTGTGCCCCACAAAAACTCAATTTTTGTGAACAACAAAAACTCAATTTCTGTGCATCCTGTCCCACAAACATCAATTTGTGACACACAAACTCATTACTGTGCAATCCTCGTCCACAAAACTCAATTTTTCGTTAACACAAAATCAATTCTGTTCGATCCGGTTCCACAAAACTCGATTTTGTTGGCCCGAAATATGGCCACACGCATGTAAGAAGGGCCTACCATTAGGTCAGAAGATGGCTGTGGAGAAATGCTGATTCGACGGAGTCGCCACTCTGTTTCTTTAACTTGTGACCCATTTCTCCAGCCCACGTTCTGACCAATGGTAGCCCTTCTTACACATTGGGTGGCCATATTTGGGCAACAGAATTAGTTTTGTGTTCACATAAATTGAGTTTTGTGGACAGGATTGAACAGAATGTGACGTATTTAGTGTTACACATAAATGAGTTTTGTCCAACAAAACTCATTTTTGTCAAGTTTATAGGTACAAAAATGCCTGTCCTGCATGGCGCCCAGTACTATGTCCCCCAGGGTACTGCCGGAACGTAACCTGGGTACGGTCCGGTATACCGGAACGTACCCTGGTACTATCTAATCTGCCGCCTACACCTACTTCCTAACCCTATACCCTAACCATAACCATATCAAATAGTTACCAGGGTACGTTCCGGTATACCGGACCGTGCCCAGGGTACGTTCCGGCAGTACCCTGGGGGACATAGACCCTATGAGCCATAGCAAGCCGTGATAAATATATCAAATCGTCCAGGTTTTTTGGATTTTTAACTAGTTGAAAAACAATCTTATCGGGTAGGAATTTGAGGATATATGTAGTCCAGTCAGTACTTACTTTTCATGTAAAAAAATTGCAACAAAATTTTCGCAAACATACACCATGGAAAATTCGTGGCGTAGTCAATTTAACAGCTCAATCTTACATGTCATCACATTATGTCAAAGATAGTGAAGTTGCTCGAGCAAGCACACGCTAGCAATCAGCATCCGCTTCCCAAGACATTAATGAGGAACCTTGCTAATTGCGGTATAATGAGAGATGCAAGCAATCAAGAGTCCATAATAGGAAATTTTCTATTATGGACTCTTGAAGCAATGCACCATATGGATATTTGTAAGAAGAGAAACAACGCTCTCGCATGAGGCTTGGGCAATAGAAGAGCAAATAATGCACGAAACCATGATAGACAACGATGACAACACGCCCGTGATTAAACCATATGCACCATATGCATATTTGTAAGAAGAGAAACAACGCTCTCGCATGAGGCTTGGACAATAGAAGAGCAAATAATGCACGAAACCATGATAGCCAACGATGACAACACGACTTGTGCACACTGATAGCATTATTTCTCATGTATACCTTTGCATGTCGCCAGCACTTTAATGTAAAAATTTGATGCGAGCAAGCACACGCTATCGCGTTTGTTTGAGGGCATCTTTTCTACATATGATAGTTTTCCATGAGAAAGTTTGATCGTGATTTAATTTGCAGCATCTGCAATCGCGTGATGAAATCAGCCGTTGTAACTATGACGGGAAGAATACGCAGAGAAAAATATAGTTGAAGCTTGATTGAAAATAAATGTGTCGGAAAAATTCTACTGATAACGAAACCGCCCATGCTGGACAATCTCAACAAAGCTCACCTGAACAACACACGCACGCACGCACGCACGCACGCACGCACGCACGCACACACACACACACACACATTTCTATTTAGTAGTTGTTTCATGTTTACCTGTGAGATATTTAGGAGCAGTGTAATAGACTCTGTAGAGACAAACAAAAATAATACACAAACACAGTAGGAAATGAGACTAGCATAGTAAAACACAGTATACTCGATGACTTGTGCTGTAATCAAGTAAAAATCATTTGCATACAAATCTTCTGTGATACTTTGAAATGATGCTATTATTTCCTTTGTTGAATCTTTGAAACATTATTTTGTTATGCATGAACTTGTTCACGTATTTCAAAAACGGTTCGTGTTCCCATTGTTGGTTCAGTTGTACGCACGAGATCGCCTTAACTCAACACCGCGTTTGAGCTTGCACTACAAAACTGCTGTTTTTCAATATAATTTAAACGATCAGCACAGTCACAAAACCTAGGTAAAATTACGTAATTATTAGTCAAACGTTTTTTAATGCAAAATGAAACGTATAATAGCAATACCGGGATATATTTCACACAGGAATATAACGTGGGTGCTTCACAGTATGGGATTACATCAGGAGTGAATAATAATAGATTATTATTATAATAGATCTATTATTTTTCACTCCTGATAACATGGTGCTGTTATTTATTATCCTATTTCATAGATATTTACGTGCCATCCTTTCTAAACGCCACACTTCTACAAAGTATAGATGTTATTTATCTCTGAGCACAAATTCCACGAGTTACAACGTGAGATCAAAAGTCCGTCCTTATAAATTGTTAAAGTAAAAAATAGACTTCGTAATACATCGCTACCGAAATTGATTTGACTCGTTCGCATACAAAATTCCACGTATGCATCGTCCGCACACAGGTGGCACCAAGAGGGCAATCAGGCACACCGGACCGCACAGCGGGCATTTAAATACAAGTATACACACATATAAAATGTACACATATAAAAACATGCTAAGCAGTGCAACACACATACACCAGCACTCGGCTTTTCCGAGCCTACCTTTCCCGTTTTACGGGTCACCATGAATTTACAACCAGTTACAAACTAAGCTACATCCAGGCATAACGCCTTTACTCACGGTACATGTTTTAAATCATAAATTGCATCCGTACATAGATAATCACTACACGACCATTGTCCTCAGTTATTATGGATATATATATATATATATATATATATATTACCAGGAGTCTATCAATATTGATAGACTCCTGATATTACCACGTACAACCCTGTTTGCATATCGGGCTAATTGAATTTGTCTTTCGACTGATCTATTCATAATTATGTACACATAACTCTATATACGTTGTGTGCAGAGAACACTTCAAAAAATATTAGCTTTAGCCTTTCACACACATACCCTCCTCCCACCCTGAAAAGTTGCATCCGGTTACTCTAAAACATGTAATACGTTACGGCCCTTACGGGAGGACTGTGGCGTGGCGAGCATAGGACCCCGATGGTGGACCGAGCTTAGGTAGTTGGTTCTCTTTGGCTTTTCTACGCGTTCTATATTTGCGTACATACATAATTGCACCTTTGTCTCGTCATCTCCACACTTGGTATAGAGTAAGTTCGCTTGGTTTTCATGTCAAACACTGACTCATGCCACTACTGCCGCCGTAAAAAACAACACAGAAGTTAACGTAAGTCGACTGTAGATTCTGCTATTAAATTATACACAGAAAAAAAAATACCGTCTAACAATACACGGGCTAGAAACTATATAATATAATAATTATAATATAACTATAATAATCGCTAAAAATGCCATGCAACAGAATTCAGTCCACTATCAGAACCGCATATATCTAATCAACGGCAGCGGGTATGCGTTATTTAGTGGCGCGCACACACACATGCGAATATCAGGTGTGATTTCTTGCATTTATAAGTAAAGTATAATCGATAGCGTAACGGCAAGATTTACACAATACTGCTTATCCAAACGTTTGTGATTCATTTATTATGTGAGAAAACAGAGGCCATGTTCACACATACAGGTAATTCTCGATGCGATGAATGAGTTTGTTTTCGACACGTAAGTAATAATATTTATGCGCGCACACACACGCACGTACGCACGCACGCACGCACGCACACACACACCCACACACACACACAAGCACGTTATTGTAGAAAACTAGATTTAATGGCGTTACTAACGTGACGAGATCGATTTTCACACACAAGCAATAATTGCAGACAGATACAAGTGACAAGATGCCTCTAGAGTTGAGCCTCGCGACTCTGAGTTGCGCGTTTTTGGAATACGATGCTCGGTTAATTGACACTTTAAATTTACGCGAGCTTTTATTTTGAATAACGCAATTACCGACAAACGATGAAAATCATCATAATACTAAATAGCGACCACTGGCAGACATCAACATTGGGAGCAGTGGCGTGGTGTTGTCAGCAGTGTACGTGAAGCTTGCGTAAACGTGTAGATCGAACGCATTGTGTTGTACTTATTGTACATAAAGTGGGTGGAATAGAGAGAGCCCACACTGCACTGTGATTCTGACTACTGGTAAGTAATTTAGTACTTTGTTATGTTATTGCCGTATTTCTCCTCGATTCGTTTTCATCCTCAGATAAAAATAACACGGATTAAAAAAACGGGTAATGAAAGTAGGAAAAATATAAAGAATAGAAATTTCACATGAAAAGCGAGCACTGAAAATCATTCGACAATAGCCGGTGCCCATAAATACATCGATTCGAAAAGACCACGAGAATGTGGACCACAAGAATGTGGCCGAATATTCTTTCCAAAAATCGTCAGAAATACCCATCTGTTAGACAGTCAGACAAACTGTCGTTAGCAGTTGTTAGCAATCACTACTTAGGTAGCGCCTCCACACCCGACGGTGGCGAAACTTTGGCGATCTTCTAGAATGCTGGAAGATTTTCTTGCAAGTGCGCTCTTGCAAGAATATGCCAAACGAACTGTGTATCAGTTGCCGTGAGAACCTGAGCGAGATAATTTAGTAATGAAAACCACCACAGGCAGCCATCACCGTGGTTGCTGCAGACATCTCAGGTGCTATAACATAATAGGCAACCTTTGTAGGCAGTAGCCGCATTGTCTTGAAATCTGCTTCATGACAAGATGGACATGCTCTCCCCGATGACGACCTTAATGAAGATGGTAGATGGCGCCAGAGGCTGTGGTGCATCGCGTTGTCTCATATCCACTCTAGGATGTACCAGACGGCTGTGCACTGCACCGTGACAACCTTAATGAAGTCGGTAGATGGCGCCAGTGGTCGTCGCATGTCGCACCGCTCTCAGATCCGCTCCAGGACGTACAGGATACCAGCGCTGTCCACTGTGACGAACTTGCTGAAGTCGGCAGAGGGCGCCACGTACTTTACGAAGCTGCCGCGCACGTGGAATGTCTGCAGCAGTTCTCCATCCTTCCGCCAGAACTTGACGCTATCGGAAGCGGACACAATGACGTTGCCGCCGGGCGATAAGTGAACGTCTGTCACCCAGCTGTTGTGCCGGGAGAGCACATCTGCGGATAGGAAGGAAACCATCGTGAAGTGCCCTGACTGCAATCATATATATGTCATGCGTCAAGTCTGCATTGAGACAGCCATTAATGACCATGAAACAATGCTGAGATTCCATAATTATACAAACCCTTCTACTGAAATGTGGTATACGAAAATTAACATCAAAGAAGAAATCATTACGTGGTGGTAAACTGATTGATGTCTACTTGCTGTTATTTCACAGCGTGAACGACTACGTGAATGACTAAATAATGTAACCAGTTCAAAACACAAAGACACACGACAGAAATAACAGCCCACTGGAACATTGATATGCTCACATAAGGATAATATTATTTTATCAATATAAATATCATATATGTGTGTACGTGTGTGGGGTGTGTGCGTATATATATATATTGTGTGTGAGTTTACTATATATATATATAATATTGCTAAACGTGAAAATAGTGCCGTGAACGCTATACCATCGTTGCGACTACAGCCTGACCAATAACGGATGAAATAACGAGGAATCAACTTCTGCAGTTATTCACGAGTTCTGCGTGTTATCCCGCTTCTAATTGTTTTATTAACACGCCTTGTTACGTTATTTTAGTGGGCTAATTATTAACTAATTAGGCTTCTAGCATCGTAAGTGTTTGAGAGAAGCAATGCACGTAGACCCATTTCCGCGGTCCACAGCTAGAGGGTAGGATCGCGGCACGGTAGTTCGTTCTAGGCCTCTCGCTCCGCCATGCATTCATGTATATCGCCGGACTATGTAGACACCCTCGGGCTATGTCATGCAGCGCTCATTCATGAGTGCGTGATCGAGGAGGCATGTTTCTAGGCAGTTCTAGACATAGGTCGCGCGTTCGCCAAAAGACATCGGTGCGTTTAGATGCCTGTTGCTATGCGAGATCTGTCAATTATCGATAGGTGGCGTTGTGACGCCGGTGAAGACGACTATGCCGGTGATGGTGGTGGTCGGAGATATTCTACATATAATCAAGAATCCATGATAGAACATGTCTATAAAATTTTCTATTATGGACTCTTGATATAATACATAGATTCTTATAGAGACTATGTAGAGTATTATGGGATATCTGTGGGGTAGTCACGTGGGTTACACATTGCATCGCTAGGAGATGACGTAATGGGGCTCGCAGCCACCACCTACCCTAGAGCTAGCAGATTCGCTCGCGTCCTTCGGAACGACCTGCGAGATTAGCGCGCACGATTCAAGGTTCGGCGATTGTTTAATGAAGAGCTTTATATTTCTGCTGATATTAGGATGAATAATATTGAACCCGTGTTTTCGCAGTTCCACTGCATGCCGTCGATATTTATTCAGGAAAATAAGGAGAAAGGTTCGGAAGAGAGGATTGACGGGAAAATGAAAGAAGTGAGAGGAAGAGGAGGAGGAGGAAAAGGAGGAGGAGGAGGAGAGAATGAGTGAAAGGATAGGAAGGGACAGAGAAGGGATGAAAGGTTAGAAAGGGAAAGAAGGGATGTGAACATAAGCGAAAAGGAGAAAGAATGCAATGGGATGAGCAAAAAGAGAAAGGCTGGAAGGATAGGAAGGCAAAGAGTAAGTATGGAAGGAGAGGAATGGACGGAGAAAGGATGAAAGGCAACGACGGGAAGAAGAGACGATTGAGTTTGTTGGTCATTCAGCGTACCTCAAGCCACCGACGTGTTTGCAAGAGCGTTCACTCCCGAAAACTCCCCGAATTCAGGACTAGTCCTTTTACTCTTTTGGCATGTGTGAAGTGGAAGCCCGAACCGTCTATACGGGACGCAAACTCACCGCACAAGCCCATATGGGTTGGTCGAGCTTATCTCCCGATGTCATTAACCTATAGAGTAATTAGTATCCCCAGGCTTTTAGATTAGGCGTAAATTCTAACTTCTAGTGTTAAGCCTTACCCTATATATACCCTAATAGCATAAATACAAACGGAAAAACTTACGCTTAGGCCGTGAATCTATTTGGTGAACGAACAAAACGACAACAATAATTTAGCCTTGTGATTTCCCTTCCCTCCGCCGGTGCCATAAGCCAAGAGAACTATAATTCCCTTATTTACTGTGACGTTACACAATCGGTACACATCCGCGATCCAGGATCAGGTAAATTATTTGTCTCGTTCATACTTACGGACGACATTACACGCGGAAACAGTAGATGGGGGGGGGGGGTATCCCACACCACCAACGGCTCGACCTTCACAAAAGTCGCCATATGGTGCGTTTAGTACTTTTGGTTGGGAATCCCCTTGAACAACATAATAGTTGCTAGTTATTTTATACAGTATCAGCTATTTAACGTTCAGGAACACTTGGGATACGCTTTCCCTCCGCAGCCACGTAAACGTGAGACGTTACCGTAATGTTTTAACGAGAAGACAAAAGAAAAAAGTATCAAAGAAACGTTCGACGTAATGTACGCTTTCCGTTTATATACCGGAATATTCCCGAAGATTATAATTATTCGCGCGTGTTTATAATTAGCTCAGTTGCCACGAAGCGCCTAACTAGTGAAGTCGGAGAAACGCACGCACACGAGCGACGCGCCCGATTCCCCGACTCCAATGGCCGGCAGCGAAATTTTTTTTCCCACTCGAGTTCCGGACCCACCATAGATAGTGTTTTGTAATATATGGTTCGTATATATATGGTTGGATTATAGTTAGTGTTAGGTGTCGTGTACGTGTTAGGGTTAGGGATAGGTGGTACTCATTTTACATTGTTGCTTCGAGGAAGTCGAGTGAATGGAGTGCGCTGATTGGCTGTGGTCCGGAACTCAAGTGGGAAAAAATATTTCGCTGGCCGGCAGCTCACTCTTTTTCGTCTCAAATAGTCGTCTCAGAATGAGCGCCATAAAACACCTGTGTTTTAATATGGACGGGATGCGTTTATTGCTTTCGTCGGCCGTAACAAGACAAATGGGAGGAGTGGACGAAATCGCACAGGCCAGCAAGAGCCCCGGGGCAGAGATGATATATAACAGGTGATTCGTCACACTACGCTTCGCCGCTAGCCTGTCACAATAGCAAATTGCTTTACGCAGCAATGGCGCAGATGGGGTTGTTGTCGTATCAGATACTACAGATATGTACCCGAGGTAGTTTTAGGTTGTTTAGTATTATGTTTATATTTTTATATAATTAGGAGGTAGTTTTAGGTTGTTTAGTATTATGTTTATATTTTTATATGAGGTATGTTTAGGGTTAGGGTTAGGGTTAGGGTTAGGGTTAGGGTTAGGGCTAGAGTTAGGGTTAGGGTTAGGGTACACTTCTGTAGTACAAGTCTGGTACACTTTGTGTATACATACATGTACCTCGGGTACATATCTGTAGTACCTGATATGACAACGACCCCTTCAATGGCACGTACCTACTCCACGTATGGTAGCCGAGGCTGACCATGCAATCGGCGAGTTGCGGTTGCTGTTCTAGTAATCAATAAAAACGCGGACCCATCGCGATACGTATGGCCATCATGTAAATTGTATTGTGATCTTTTTGCGACACGTGATTTTGTGAGACGTGTGCGTGTATGTGTGTGCGCGCGCGCACGTGGGTGTGTGTGTGTGTGTGCACGCGCGCGTGGGTGTGTGTGCGTGCGTGTGTGTGTGTAGCTGCCGCGCAGCGTGTTGTTGTGCTGTGTCGTGTCGTGCGTAGCGTGGTGTGTGACTGTGTGGTGTGGATCGTGTGTGCTCTCATGTAGTGCAGCGGCGCGGCGGTCGGTGCATTTCGTGAATCGCAGAGCTATGGTTAGGTACTTCAGATCCAGTTGCTAAGTTGAAAAACACGCACTGGCCTGTCTTGTCTAGGCTGCGAGACAGGACCGAGGATCAGCAAACCACATATATACCTTAGCTAATAATTGCCTTAAATTGCAAATGCCTATTTAATGAATTCATCCCACCCAAAACTTGAAAAAAAACGTATAAATTCTACAATTAGAGTTTGTTCTCTTAGCTGAAGAGAGGCGCACAGTTTCATTGTTCGTCGTGCCAGCCAATTAACAGGATCGAGGAACGGAATCAGCTGGGCCGGTGAACCCCAACCCATCCAACTTGCCGGAATCAATACTAGCAAATAGGATTGAAAAAACTCGGGACGAGCATGCAGTCACTTAATTATGGACCAACCAGAACTTCTTTTGATGCGACTTACGCGTTCATGGTAGAGGCAAAGCCGAACAAGATCGAAAGATCAGTAAAGATATGACTCTCCAATGTCAAAGTCAGCTCTGTTAGTATTACTCGTCACGTTGTGCTTGCTTGCTTGTCATTGCTGTCATTGTTTGTTGGTAACATACAGTGTGTGCCTAATGGCACCTCGAAATTCATTTTTAAATTTTCTCGAGAGATTTACGATTAGATTTCAATACTTCTAACAGATCCTTAACAGTATGGATTTTATTTTGATAGCAGGAATGAGCAAATATCTCTCTACTCGTTAACAGAATTAGGTGTGGGAAGCATGTTAAAAATACAATATTATGACATAAATGAAGTACATCCGAAAAACCACCCGAAACTCTCACATCAGTACTTATTTTCCTCCATCAGTTGTTATTCGGTCTCTATGTTTGAATGTTTAGCTAGCAGTGCAAGAGAGAAAAAGGTATACATGTTATTATGAACCTGTTGCACAGAAAATGTGTGAAGGATAAAGACAACAACGATAGAAGCCTCATGAGAGCAAATTGGGATTCCATGTGGCACGCATTTGACCTATGCTTCACGGCAATATAATAACACGGCCACCGCGACTGCGCATGTAAAACGCGTTAAAGTGGATTTACGTCACCGTAAATAGTAAAAGAGTAGAACAAAATTATGGTCCACATTATTACACAAATGTAAGTGACTTCTCTTCATCTTTTATGGTTACATGCTGCATTATCATTCTATTTGCTATTCCGTTCGATGTAAACAAATACTCATGACTATACCATAGCCCCATGAGCAGCTGAGAGTGGTCTATGTACGGCGGCACCA